ATTAAAAAAAAATAAATAAACTTACTAAACAATTAAACGTAACAAACATGTTGCATGCAATAACACGAAGCAATCTCAAAATATTTATGCTGAGTGAAAGAAGTCAGACAACAAATACAGTATGAGTCCATTTATGTAGTCCAATTATATACAATTTAAAATTCCACTACAATTTATATAAAGGACACAAAAATGCTGATTCAAAGGGGCACATGCCCCCCAATATTTATAGCAGCACTATCAACAATAACCAAATTATGGAAGGAGCCCAAATGTTCATGGACTGATGAATGGATAAAGAAGATATGGTATATGCATACAATGGAATCTTACTCAGCGATCAAAAAGAATGAAATCTTGCTATTTGCAACGATGTGGATGGAACAAGGATGTATTATGCTAAGTGAAATAAGTCAGTCAGAGAAAGACAAATATATGATATCACTCATTTGTGGAATTTAAGAGGAAACAGATAAAAACAGGAAGGAAAAATAAGATAAAAGGAGAGAGGGAGGCAAACCATAAGAGATTCTTAATAGAGAGAATAAACCAAGGGTTGCTTGAAGGGAGGTGGGTGGGGGATATGCTAATTAGGTGACGAGCATTAAGGAGGGCACTTGTTGGGAGGAGCACTGGGTGTCACATGTAAGTGATGAATCACTGGGTTCTACTCCTGAAACCAATACTACATGGTATGTTAACTAACTTGAATTTAAAGAAATTTTTAAAAATAACAAATACATAGGGGCGCCTGGGTGGCGCAGTCGGTTAAGCGTCCGACTTCAGCCAGGTCACGATCTCGCGGTCCGTGAGTTCGAGCCCCGCGTCGGGCTCTGGGCTGATGGCTCAGAGCCTGGAGCCTGTTTCTGATTCTGTGTCTCCCTCTCTCTCTGCCCCTCCCCCGTTCATGCTCTGTCTCTCTCTGTCCCAAAAAATAAATAAACGTTAAAAAAAAAATTAAAAAAAAAAAACAAATACATAAATATATAAATACTGTATTGTGTATAACTGTGTAATCATATACAATAGAGAATTCTAGAAAATGACAACTAACCTATAGTAGAGAAATGTCTGGCTAGTGCTTGCCTAAGGATGAAGGGGTGGGAGGGGGAGGGGAGGAAGGGATTACAAAGGCGCATGATGAGCTGTAGGGCAATGGATATCTTCATCATCCTGATTGGGGAAAATGGTTTCATGGTGAATTCATATGTCAAAACTCATCAAATTGCGCTCTTTACATACATGCAGTTTACATCATTTATATCTCAACAGAGTGTAAGAAAATGCAGTGTATAGCAAGGTGATCCTATGTTTTCGTCTGTGAAACATACAAAAACGAAACAGAATGGGGTTTTGTATCTGAGGATGGCAAATTACACCCAGATATCTGACTCTTCAGTTCACCCCAATCTTTCATCCTAGGTCCCCAAGGAAATAGTAAGATAAGATTTTAAAAAGGAATCCAAAAGGGGAATCACTGAGGCTACAGCAAGAACCCACCCAATTTTCAGAGTTAATTTAGTTAACAGTACTTCCTTAATAGTTTTGTTTGATCACTAATTTTCCTCAAATCATTGGTGGCCACAACTGGGTATCTGTAGTAGAAGGAGGAGGTGGCATCAGGCACAGAATTCCATCCTCTCTGTCTTCCTTTTGGGGTCCATCAGGGGAGTCCTCAAAGACCCTACTCTATGGCTCCTCCATGTGTGATAAGAACTGACCTGCATTGGTAGTTTAATGTCTTTATTCATAATGTAGGTGTACCTTAACAGTTACTGAAATTGAGAAGATCAAAGGAATCTAAACGCCAGGGAGACATCCAGGTGTGCAAAGGGGGAGATGCTGAGAGGATCTAGAAGGAGCAAGGAGGGAGTGGCTGGCCCGGCAGGTCTGGGGGATTCTCTTACCCTATCAGTCTCTCCTGCCCCTCCTTCTTTTCCTTTCTCTTTGTTCCTTTCTCCCTCCAAAATAAGGTTTCTGAGCTCTTCCTCTTCATAGTTATCTCAGAGAATAATTGATGAGCCTGTCCTCTTGCCTTTGTAGCTCGGTTTGCTCTATAGTCTTCAACAACATGCACTTTTGGGGTCCTTCTTCAGCTACTCCTCCCCCACCCCTGTGGCCCCTGCTGTCCAGAGTTCATGGAGTTTATTCACAAGTAGAACCCTAGCACTTCTTTTATAATTGCTCGGCTGTTTGTTATGCAGATACTTTTTCACATCAGTTTTTCATTTCATTTAAAAAGTAATATATCTTAAAGGCAGAGGTGAAGACCAGTGGAAATAAGTCCTCACATATATGGTCAAACGATTTATTGACAAGGGTGCCAAAACCATTCAATAGGAAAAGGACAGTCTTCAATAAATGGTGCTGGGGAAACTGGACATCCACATGCAACGGGATGAAGTTGGACCCTTATTCAACAGTATATACAAAAACTAACTCAAAATGGGTCGAAGACCTAAATATAAGAATTAAAACTATAAAATCCTTAGAGTAAAACACAGGGCTTCAGGACATGGATTTGGTGATGATTTCTCAGATATGAAACCAAAGACACAGGCAACAACATCAAAAACAGACAAATTAGACTTCATGAAAATTCAAAATTTTTGTGCATCAGAAGACACCATTAACAGAGTAAAAAGGCAACACACAGGGTGGGAGAAAATATTTGCAAATCATCTATTTGATAAGGGATTAATACTCAGAATGTATAGAGAACTAAAACTCAACAAATAATCAATTCAAAAATGGACAAAAAATTTGAATAGACATTGCTCCAATGAAGATATACAAATGGCCAATAAGCATATGAAAAGTGCTCAACGTCACAAATCATTAGAGCAATGCAAATCAAAACTATGATGAGATACCACCTATACCCATTGTGTTGGCTACTCAAAAACAAAGACGAAAACAAAAACAAAACCAGAAAATGACAAGTGTTGATGAGAATGTAGAGAAACTGGAACCCTCTTGCATGGTTTTTAGGAATGTAAAATGGTGCAGCTGCTATGGAAAACAGCATGGCTGATCCTCAAAATATTAAAAATAGAATTGCCACATGATCTGGCAATCCCATATGTGGCTATCTATGCCAAAGAATTAAAAGCAGTATTTTTACCACCCATGTTCATAGCAGTATTGTTCACAATATCTAAGATGTGGAAGTAACCCAAGGTCTATCAAGATCTGAATAAATAAGCAAAATGTGGTATATTCATACAATAGAATGTTATTCCGCCTTAAAAAAAAAAATCCTATCACATACTACAACAAGGATGAACCTTGAGAACATGCTAAGTAGAATAAGACAGTCACAAAAGGGTAAATATTGTAGGGTTCCACTTATATGAGGTATCTAAATGCTTAGAAACAGAGCAGTGGTTGCCATGGGCTGAGGGGAGAGGGAATGGTGAGTTAAATGTCTAATGAGTACAAAGTTGCAGTTTTACAAGATGAAAAGAGTTCTGGAGATGGATGGTGGTAATACTTGCACATTATGAATGTATTTAACAACACTTAACGTACACTTAAAAATGGTTAAGATGGTAAATTTTATGTTGTATGTTTTCTCCCACCAAAAAAAAGAGGAAAAAAATAATATATACATGAACAAGCTAAAAATTCAATGCCAAAAAAAAAAATAGTTTATATAGTAGAAAAAAGGCAATTCTCCCCTGATTTACCCACATTTACCAATGATTATATACTCTTATACATGTTATATACTCTTATATATAACCAATGGTTATGTACTCATATACTCTTTGGAGACTCAGACATCTAACACTCTGAGCACTCTGACTTTCTTTGCTTTGATTTAGCCCGGTGTGCTGATGTGTTTCATATCAAATTATATAAAACTTCCTCATTATTTTTTACCGGTTGCACACTGACTCATTTTATGAATACATATCTATGGTTACATTGCATAAAGTTCCTAAATAGGCAAAACTAACCTTTGGTGTTAGAATTCAGAAAAAGTCACCTCGAAGGAGCAGCCGGGCAGCGACTGAGAGAGGCGGGTAGCTAGTCACGCTGTTTCTTAAACCCCACTATGGCTATACAAGAGTGTCCACATTGTAATAATTCATTAAAATGTGATTTCTGCACTTTCCTGTCTTCAGTGATGCTGTCTTCACTTTTACCAAATTTAATCTCACAGTTTAGTGGGAAAGGTAGCAGTAGAGGCAAATAACTATGGCTCAGTTTAGTAAGTGAATTTAGGATACCTTGCACAGTTGCAGCAGTAGACCCCAGTGGGTCTGGAGGCTGCCCAAGTGCAGACCCCAGCTGTCGCTAGCTGGATAGCCCCCGGCTAGTCACAGAAGTGTGAGGCCCCTCGGTTCCCACATCTGCAAAATGGGAATAAGAATGCAGCTATCTGATAGAGTTACTGCAAGGATTTAATATAATCTGTGTAACATAGGTGGAAGTGCTCCGCAAACACATAGCAGGTGTTCGAGTAATGTCAGAATTTTAAATTTTACACGGAAAAGGATCTTCCTCAGTGCTCAGTAAAGAAATGCTTTGGGTAAAATACTTAGGGCCGGCCTCCTCAAGGGCCACGCGTTCACGAAGTAGCATGGTCTCATGTGCTGCCGCTCGGAAACGAAGTCTTCCCGGACAGGCGACACTCAGCCCCTGGACTCTGCCCAGGTCCCCTTTAAAAGCGAGCCCTGACATCATTCCACCCCCTTCCCCCACGGCGCAGCCTACCTTAGAAGCGCCCCGGCAGTACTTCCGGGCGGCCTCAATTGGCTGGTCAGCACCCGGAGGCCCCTCCCCTTTGCCCGCAACCGGCCCCGGGCGTCCACCGTCAATCCGCCCAAGTGGGAGCGGTGATTGGCTGCGGGGCCCGCCCTCCAGCAAGCCCCGCGGGGCTGGCGTAGGCTGCGCGCGCTAGGTGGGAGGGGCGCGGCACCGGGTTTGGAGCTGCTGTCGTCTAGGTCCGCCCGCCCGCCCTCCCGCCCGCCTGTCCCTCCTGCAGGCCCCCTGCTGGGCAGGGCCGGCCCGGCCCGGCCATGGAGTCCTACGACATAATCGCCAACCAGCCCGTGGTCATCGATAACGTGAGGCCCGGCAGTCGGGGGGAGGGCGGGAGTCCCGCCCCCGGGGGTGCACGCGGCGGCGCCAGGAGGACCCCCTCCCCCCGCCCGTCTCCGTTAGTCCTCCGAGCGATGCCCGCCCGACACCCACTCCTGGGGCTCTCCTGTTCACCTGGCTCTGTAGCTAGGGCCATGGGGCCAGCCCCTCCACCGACGCCGTGGAGCCCTTGCCCGAATCCTCCCCGAGCCCGGTGGGGACGTACTGGAGAGGCATGGGACCCATCTGTCTGGCTACTTGTGGTCATCGTGGGGAGTGCTGGAGTGACAGTCGAGCGGCCCAGCCAGTGCACCTGTGTCAGGCCCAGGGAGGCACCTGGACTCTTCTTGGTTGAGATGAGGGCCCCTAGTTAGGTTAGGTTAGTTTAGGACCCCAACCACTTTACCCCCTTCTCGGGCTCTGGCTGCCCCTTTTAGTGGAGGAGGAGGGAAGGCATTTGCCCTTTTGCAGAGTGCTGGACTGATCTTTCAGAGAGGGTTGGCCTGGTGACCTCTACAACAGCACTTCCCAAGGGGCTGCAATTCTAAGCAGGACCTCCAGAGTGGACAGGCCCTCTTTTCCTGAGACTGGAAAGAAGAAAAAAAAAAAAAAAATACTGGTTAAGCTCTGCCAACCATATATCCACCATCACCTGGTTGGCCACTTGGCTACTTTGACCCTCTCCTTAAGTGCTCACTGCTCTGTGCTGAGCAGAAATTCCACAGCTAGCAGGACAGTGGAGAATTCAGGACCACTCTTTCTAGGACCCAAAGCAGTTTGGGATAATGGTTTGGAAGCTTCAGAGAAAAGTTGCCTGGCTTCCTTGTGGCCTTGTCCTTCAGCACTGGGGCTCAGCATGTTTTCAGCTGCCCTCTAAGGATTTCTGGCCTCAGAACTGTCTGATCCATAGGAAGAAAATGAAGGACGGGGATATATGGATCTGCCTCTAGCTCGGTATCTGCCTCTGCTGTGTGAGCCTTGGAGTTTTTTATAATGACTCACTCCTCTTTCTGGGATGTGTCTCCCTCCCACATGACCCCCATGTAATCCTGAATGGCTGTCTTTTTTGGAGTACCCACGTGGGCTCCTTGAGTCATAGCAGGGGGTGTTTAATAAGAAGGCTAGAACTAGGCTTGGGGGTTCCGTCCAGCAGGCTACGGGATAGACTAGGCCACTTCCTTTCTTGGTGGGCAAATAATTCACTTAGGCTAACCAACAAGCTTAGGAGTTCAGAGGGCAACCTGCTTGGTCCTTCTGGGTTTCCAGCCCCTCCTCTGTAACATGAAAATGTTTATTTCTGCACTGCAGACCCAGAAGGTTGTAATGGAGATCTGTGGGAAGTAGGGTTGAGAGGCTGATTCCTTCATTAGGTGGGAGGTTTCTGGATGTCCGGTTCCCTTTAAGAGCGTAAGTCCAGTTTCTGTGCTGGAGCAGTGGCAGGACCAAATTCACCTGTAGTCTTTGGAGAAGACACTTGAGGGGAGGTGCCAGTTGTATACACAATGATCTTGCCGGGTGGGTCCTGTATGTGGTCCATGGCTGTTGGGGTGGGGATGACCAGGGGCTATTTAGAAAAACTACATTTAGAGGTTGCTTCTAGCCGACTTTTGGAAGTAGCTTGTGCCACTTTGGATTCCTCCTGTCTGGAGCTGGCCCTAGAGTACGCAGAGGAGCATGTACTTCATGGTTTCTCAGTCTCTGCACTGTTGACATTCTGGGCTAGATTATTCTTGGTGTGAAGGGCTGACCTGTGTATTGTAGGATGTTTAACAGCACCCCTGGCCTCTACCCACTAGATGCCAGTAGTACCTACCCCTTTCTCTGTCCTCCCCAGTCTCCAGACATTGTTAAATTGGGGGGAAGGGGTGCAAAGTCACCCCCTAGTTGTGAATCACTGGAGTACTTGTAAATGATCATGCCCTCTTGGTGGGTCTCAGACTTGCTCCCCAGGCTGCCATGATCTGGACAGCCAGCTCTACTGCAGGGCACTGCCTTCATCTGGAGGAGCACATCAGGAGCTAAACATTGTTTTTCCTTTCAGGGTTCAGGGGTGATCAAGGCTGGCTTTGCAGGAGACCAGATTCCCAAATACTGTTTCCCAAACTAGTAAGTGTTGCTCAGGCAGCAGCCCTAACCTTTTTGTTGGATTCCAGGAAGAAAACTGGCTCTGTGTCACAGCTCTTTTTGAGACCAACTCTTGCCCCCACATATAAGGGAAAACACCCTTTGTTTTGTGTTTGTGAGGCCAGTGGTGTTAAGGGCTCTGGAAGGACAAGAGAAGTGCTCTGGGCTTCCTCTTCTTTGAAGTCTGATTTTGGTCCCTCCTTGAGCCAGGGAGGGAGGAGAAGCTACCAGCATTCCCTTGGGAACAGGGTGTGGTAGCAGCAGCCAGAATGGAAGGGTGACATCTCTGGGAGAAGGACCTAACCTCAGAGGAAAAAGAGTGGGGAGTTAATGCAAAGCCACTCCTTGCTCCCAGGAAATGTTTTTTCCAGGGCTTGTTTATTTTCCAACTGGAGAAAATAATTGGTTCCATCAAGGGGAGTCTTTCCCTGAATGGAGCAAGTGGTGGCAGGGGTAAGAAGGAGGTGAAAGCATGGAAGAAACCTGGGAGTGCTCCTTCAGCCACTCGAGTGCATTGGGAAGTTTTCCTCAGTGGGAATCTTCTCAAATCCCGGAGGTTATAGAGGGATTGGCCTAAGCGGAGGCGGTAGGGCAGGGGGGATCCTGAGGCCCCCAAAGTGGCTGGCTATACTGAGAACCCCAGGCCTGGTCAGGGGCAGGGCCAGCTTGGAGCACCCAGTAGGGCTTCAGCTTTCCTTTCTGAATTCTACCTGTGTACAATTAAAAGGCAACTTGGGTCAAATTTTGGAATTGTAGCTTATCTAGTCTTCCAAGAACTGACTCTTTATTCTGGAAGCCCTGGCAGTGGGAAGGGGCAGGATCAAATGACAGAGAGGGGTGAACAAGGGAGCCATGACCCAACTTCCTGGGACCTTGGTCTGCAGACAGTGGCAGCAGCCCTGCCCTCCTGAAATCAAGAGCGTGGGCTGAGTCATTATGGCTGCTGAATCTGACCCACTGCCAGGGCTGGACCATGAAGGGCTGAGATTCCAGAGCTCTCAGCCCTGTCTGGGAGGGAGGGGTGGGAAAAAGATACCTTTTCTTCTGACCCTGAGCATACCATCCTGCCAAGGTCTGGTCTCTAGGCCTGTGTCCCTTAGGCCTGGGTTCTGGCCTTTGCCACATGGCCACCTCTGGATACTTTAGAGTAGTTACCCTTTTGACCACAGGAGTTAGACTTTGGCTTTCCTGGACATGGACTCATCCATGCCCCCTGCCCACCTTGGTGACTCTACCTGTCCTTGCAGTGTTGGGCGCCCTAAGCACATGCGAGTGATGGCTGGAGCCCTGGAGGGGGACCTCTTCATTGGACCAAAAGCAGAGGTAACACCTGTGGAGCCTGCCTTTGCCTGGGTTTGGGGCCTTCACAGTTCTGGGAGCATTGGCTGGTGATCAGAGCTGTACCTCCCAAAAGGGCATCTGTTCTCTGGGGCCATCTGCCAAGCGTCTTCCTGGGCTCTCAAGGCTCCATCTTGGAAGTACTATGAAATGGCACGATGGTTTCTGTATGGGGGAACAGACTACTTAACGCCCTATTTTGTGGAAGTAATTTGGAAGCTATAGAGGAAAGAATTGATTAAAAAGTGACTTAAGGGACACCTGGCTGGCTCAGTCAGTAGAGCATCTGACTCTTGATCTCAGAATCATGAGTTTGAGCCCCGTGTTAGGCATGGAACCTGCTTAAAAAGAAAAGTGATCTAAGAGTCTGGATCACTCAGATTTGATGACTGATAGAAACAAGAACTGTGGGATCACCTATTACTCTCCATCTGGGGTGACTTGTCTAAGTACTGCATGGCCAGTTGAGGCCCCAACAGGAGGAAGCAAGTGTAGTTTAGGAGTTTAGGCACTGGAGAACATGGTTGGGGGGGTAGGGGTGTGCCTTAGCCAAGAGTACAGATAAAGGGCTCTCAGGAGATGGGGTCAGAAGGAGCCATGCCTATGGACGAGAGAGGTCAGGTGGTGTTTGGTGAGAAGGGGCACGTTTGGTAGGAAGGGAGGACACTGAAGGGCAGGTCTGTGCGGAAGATGTGAGCAGTGGCTCCAGAGCTGGGAGGAACGGTAGGCAACAGGCAACCACAGGACAGGACAGCATGGGATTGGCCATGAGGCAGCTCCTGGTGGTGGGGAAGGAAGCTGGGCAGTGTGTGAGGAGAGAAGAGGAGAGAACATGTTGGCAGTGAGTAGAGAAGCCCAAGAAGCACAGCCAGGGGAGGAAGGTGAGGACTAGGATGGGAGGGAGCATATCACCACCCTCTCTCTCCCCTGCCCATTGAAGCTGGCTGGACTCTGAGGGCCTGAGAAGCTGCTGCTGGACAAATGAGCCTGTACTGGGTTTAGGACCCCACCACTGGGCATGAGGACACCCAGTCAGCAGTAGTGGTTCTCTTCAGGGCAGTTGAAAGGGCAGCTTCCAGGAAAGCAGAAAGCAGTTGCTGGAGAGCAGCCTGGTGCTCCAGCTGGCCTTCCCACCCTCCTCCGCAGGAGCACCGGGGGCTGCTGGCCATCCGCTACCCCATGGAGCACGGCGTGGTGCGAGACTGGAACGACATGGAGCGCATCTGGCAGTACGTCTACTCCAAGGATCAGCTGCAGACTTTCTCCGAGGAGGTGTGGCAGCCAGCCCCTCCCACCAGGCTCCACATTTTCTCACCTGTGCCCTCTCACTGCTCTGTTTCCTTTCTGGTTGGGTTTCCACGCTTCCTCTGCATGTTATTAGGGCCTGTTGCCACTTCATTTTGTGTATGTGGGTACACAGAGTCACTGGCTGCCAAGTCGAGTTTTCCGGAGGGAGCTGGATCTTTGGAAGAATAACTGATGGCAGATAGTGGGATAGTGCTCTTGGGAAGGATAGCAGGCTACAGCTGCATGTGCTCATGGGAGGGTGTTTGGCTCTCTAAAAGATCCTTTTAGAGCCTAGCATGTTGTCTTTGCTCATGCCTAAACCCTGCCATCTCTTGTAGCATCCTGTTCTCCTAACGGAGGCTCCACTGAACCCGAGTAAGAACCGGGAGAAGGCAGCAGAGGTGTTCTTTGAGACCTTCAACGTGCCAGCCCTGTTTATCTCCATGCAGGCTGTGCTCAGCCTGTGAGTGCTCCCTAAGCCCTAGGGTCCCCTGAGTCCCCATCCTCCCTGTGGCCATCCTCCTGCTCATGTCTGACTTCCCTGTAGAAACAGCCCCGTGGTAACTGTTCCTTTAGGGAGTTCCTCATGTCCCTTTTTCAGACCAGATAATGCAAATGTCCCAGGGTCCCTTCCAGGGGTGAGGAGGTCCCCATGCCTCAGTGGCTGAGGTGAAGGGATGCTGACCTGGTGACAGGTATGCAACAGGACGCACGACGGGAGTGGTTTTAGACTCAGGGGACGGGGTCACTCATGCTGTCCCCATCTACGAGGGCTTTGCCATGCCGCACTCCATCATGCGGGTGGACATTGCTGGTCGTGATGTCTCTCGCTATCTCCGGCTACTGCTGCGCAAGGAAGGAGTTGACTTTCACACCTCAGCTGAGTTTGAGGTTGTCCGGACCATCAAAGAGGTGACAGAGGGCAGGAGGGTGAAGAGGCAGGCTGGGTGGGGCAATGGGCAGTGGTGGCACCAAGGTGTGAGGTTGAGCCCTGGGTGTGGGTTTCCCGGTTGCAGCCTTCTGAGCGTTGTCCCCTGCCCACCGCAGCGAGCCTGTTACCTCTCCATCAACCCTCAGAAGGATGAGGCTCTGGAGACAGAGAAGGTGCAGTACACCTTGCCAGATGGCAGCATGCTCGATGTAAGTTGCCAGGTCTGGCCCTGGGTGGCAGCGGTGATGCTGGCATCTGGAGGAAGAAGGGGCCTGTCCCCCTCAATCTTGTGTTCCAAAGGTGGGGCCAGCGCGGTTCCGGGCCCCTGAGCTGCTGTTCCAGCCAGACCTGGTAGGTGATGAGAGTGAGGGGCTCCATGAGGTGCTAGCCTTTGCCATTCACAAGTCTGACATGGACCTTCGCCGGACACTGTTCGCCAACATCGTGCTTTCAGGTGGCTCCACACTTTTCAAAGGTACCACCATTTGGGAGCTGGTGATTAAGACTTAAACTGCACCCCACTCCCTAGAACCTGGGACGTGGCCCATTTTCTGTTGGCTTTTTGGTGCTCAGTTAGCATTTATTTATTTATTTGTTTGTTTATTTTAATGTTTGTTTTTGAGGGGGGTGGGGCAGGGAGAGAGGGAAACACAGAATCCGAAGCAGGCTCCAGGCTCTGAGCTGTTAGCACAGAGCCCAATTTGGGGCTCAAACCCACAAACCATGAGATCATGACCTGAGCCAAAGTCAGATGCTTAACTGACTGAGCCACCCAGATGCCCCAAGCATTTATTTTTTTAAGAGAAAGATTTAAAGTTAACTTTTATTTACTTTGTAAATAGGTGCTAAGTTTGCATAAGATCTAAAATGTGTTCGATGAAGTCTCCCTTTTCACACTGTCTTGGTCACCCTGTTCCGCCCCCTGGGAGTTACTAGTTTCTCAACTATGTGCTCAGCAGCACTGTGCATATGTAAGCAAATGTTAATTTCCCCTTGCTCCCGCTTTTATACCCATCACAACATGCTCTACAAGTTGTGCACCATGTATTTTTCATGTAGCCCCCTATCTGGAAGATCTTTCCCTGTCCATGTGAGTTCTTTCATATGGCCATGTGATAGATCACTGAATGGATGTGCCATTTACCCGTTGACCTGCCGGTGGCCTGTGAGTTCGTTGCAGTCATTTCTAATCACAGAGGTGCTACACCCGATTACCTCATATGCTGTCATTTCATGTAATAAGAATATCCCTAAAGGAGAAGTCCTAGGAGAATTGCTGAGTCAGAGGGTGGGCATATGTACTTGTTATCTAGTAGATACTGCCTAACTCCCCCCACCCCCGAGTGCCACTTATGCCCCCACCAGTTACAGAGGAGAGTCCCCCGGCACCCTCCCAATACTGTGATAGGTAGAAATAGTAGACATTTTCTCCTGATTTGTCATTTGCCTTTGACTTTGCTTTGGGTAGATTTGGGCTGCTGGAGTGTTGGGTGAGGAAGAGCATAAGAGCTCAGCAGCCAGGCCGAGCTATGTGACTTAGGGTTCCCTCTCATGCTACCTCTCTGAGGAAGCTGGGCCCACCTTAGGCATGGTGCTGACTCTTTTCTTCCTTGGGGTGACTCACCCCCATCCTTGATCCTGGAAAGAACCACCGAAAGAGGGGCGACAGCAGCTGGGGCCGCCAGAGGTTGGAGATGGAGGTGCTAGTGGTAAGGGGGTTCAGATGTGGACTCTGGGCTCAGCCAGCCTTGTGTTCACAGGCTTCGGTGACCGATTGCTAAGTGAAGTGAAGAAGCTTGCCCCAAAGGATGTCAAAATCAAGGTGAGGTTTCAGGGAACCCCATGGGGCATGGGGATACTGGGCAACCTTGACTGGGCGAGGAAAGGTCAAATGCCACCCCCAGACACCCTCTCCCAGCTCTACCCAGCCTCCTCCCTTGCCCTGTTCGGCTGCTCCCACTACTCCCAGCTGATGCACTTGCTATCTGGCCTTGGGCCCTGGGGGAAAGGCTCCCAGGGCTGAGGTGGGGGATGGGCAGTTACATTACTGCTTGTTCCCTCTAGATCTCGGCCCCTCAGGAACGGCTCTACTCCACATGGATCGGGTGAGGCGGGGTTCACGGGGAGGGCTCTGGGAGGAGACCATTGGCCCAGGCCAGGTGGAGGTGGGTGGAATTCCCTCCCAGGTACAGGAAATGGAGCTCTGAGTGCCCACAAGAGGCCGATGGCCCAGCCTTTAGGTCCACAAGAGTCTATCCCTCCCTCTTCACAGTGGCTCCATCTTGGCCTCGCTGGACACTTTTAAGAAGATGTGGGTGTCCAAAAAGGAGTATGAAGAGGATGGCTCCCGTGCTATTCATCGTAAAACCTTCTAGTGCCCAAGGAGGTGTAGCATGTTGGGAGAGTAGGAGGAAAGGCGAGTCAGAGCCCTTAACCCTTTCTGGTCTGGGCTCACATCCTAGGCCTAGGGTCCCCTGCATGCCCTGAACCCTGGGCAGGTGGGGCAGCTGCGCTTCCCTGCAGCCCTCCCCCTGCAGCCCTCCCCTGCACACACACACACGCACACACGCACGCACTCACACATACATGGTAACATTTAGCTGCATGGATGGGAGTCAGGAGCTGGAATGAATATAAAAGTTGAGAAGCCCAGCTTTGGATTGTTCCAAGGGTCCCCCTTGGCAGGGCCTTGCTCTGACCCTCAGGCTGTATCCCTGAGCTCCAAGGCCAGATACCCAACACCCCATTTCCTTTGACAGGATCCCTCCCTGAGCCAGAGTGCCTGGATGCCTGTGTACCTAGCCTTGGGGAGTGGGGTGGGGGAGGGGTGGCCAGCAGCTCCCGGCTGGTGCATCCCTGCTTCTCATGCCACATTTAGGCATCCCTTATCCTATCACATTCAGTCCTCCTGTCTTCCTGGGTGGATGCCTTGGTGTAGGCTGAGGACTGGGCAGTCTTCCATCCATCCCCAGCCAAGGGGTCTGGCCCAGGATCAGACCCTTCGGAGCCAGGGCAGAGGATCATGGGGTTCAGGCGGCCACAGTTTATTGGTGGTCTCCCTTCAAAGCACTTCATTGACACTTCATTGACCATCTCCTTTACCTTAGTACCTGGATGGGAAAGGGTTAATGGTCTTCATTTGTTGAGAGGAAGCCACTTAATCAGGAGTCAGACCTAGAGGGAGTGAGGGGGGCACATTTCCTTTTCCCATCTCTCCCATGAAAGAGGTTTTCATTGACCCTGTGGCCAGGACCCCCCACCTCCCTCTCCCAGATATGTATAATAATTTAACACAGTTGCCTGAAAATTTTTTTGTAAATCATTATAGTAATAATTATGGAAAGGCCTAGTGCGTGTCTGTTTTCTTGTGGTTCTTTGTGTTGTTCGTTTATCTGTGTCTGGGGACTTTGAGAGAAAGGACCATCAAGAAGGCATCAGGCATTGGCTCTAGCTCAGAAGCCTGAGGGTTTCAGTGGTTGGCGGGGCAACGTGGCATGCGAGGCCTCAGGAGGCCGGGCTCTCAACCTGGTTATAGAATTCCCCAACCTCATTACCCACTTGCCACAATCCACCCAGAGAAGCAGAGAACTTGGAAGCAGAGCACAAGGCTGCCTTCCTCAGCCTTATTCCTGGATAAGACTCATGGCAGGTGGGGCTGGTGCTCAGTGTGTCTACGCCCTGCCCATTCTGTTTGGGCACCTCTGATGGTCAGCTCAGATATGGCTGAGGCTGACAGACCCAACAGTGATGCAGGCTCAGGGCAGGCCTCCTGGAAAGAGAGTGTTGGGGGAGGTGAAGAAGGCTGTGTTGATAATCTGAGCTCTGAAGGAAAAAGCTGAGGAAAAAGGGGGGTACAGTGAGGAATGAGAGTTCAGAGACTGTCTGCCCTTTCCTTCCTTCATCAGGGATCTGAACACCTGCAGTATGTCCAGGAGGGTGCCACAGGTTTGGGGCCATGTCTTTGCCCCCACAACCATACGGGTCAGGGGAAGATGATTAACTGGCCATTTTGGTAGCATTGTGGGGGCCAGAAAGAAGGGCATCGAATCCAGCAGGTGGGGTAGGCTGACTTGCATGGGTTCAGGAGGGGTCAGCCAGGTAGGGGAGGGTGTCCCAGGTTGAAGTAAGAGCTCAAAGGGATGCCTGAAACCAGTGTGGCTTGAGACCCGAGGTCCTGGACCCCAGTGATGCCAAGTCAGCAGGGAAGAGTAAGTGGCCTCCTCTGGCTATAATGCAAGAAAACCAAAAAGGGAGGTTGGGGCCATCATGTGGAAGGCCTTGAGAGGGTTTTTAGCTGTGTCCTGGTGATGGACAGCCAGCCACGGAAGGATGGTTGTCATAGCCATGTGTTGAAGGCATTTGGAGTTTGTGGGGCTGAGAGAGGGCTGAGAGCTGAGGAGATCAGGTAAGAGGGGAGAGCTGACTGAGGCCTATCTTCACAGGGAGTTTCATAAGGCTTTGTGGTCACAGAGTAGTTAAGCCTGTACCTGCCCTCAAAGGAGAAATAATTCATGAAGAATCCTTTGTTTGGGGTTGTGTTCGTGGTACCTCTTTCTCCAAACTACACAGGTTTGGAGCGTTATTACTTTATTCCTCTCTTTTCCGTACCTCTTCCGCATTCTGTCAATTACCACATTCTGTTGGTTCTTTTGTAGTGCCTTCCTACCTGCTATTCCTATACTATGATCGTCTCCACCACCCTATCGCATAGCAGTAGCTTCATTCTCCTCTGTACCCAGTCTATTTGCTCTTGGATCTCAGGCCCATGTACCCTTGGTTCTGCCACTTCCTAGTCCAAAATGTCAGGCAGTTCTCCACTGCCTAGTGGAATGAAACCAAACTGATATGTCTCTGGCAAAATCCCCTTCATGAACCACATGTTAAATTCAGGCCCTTTGGGATCTGTTTCTTTCCTCTTTTAGGTTCATATATCATCATGCCCTGTTCTGCCCTCCAGCTTCCACTCTCTGCTGGGAATGACTTTCCCTCATGTCTGTCCAAATCCCATCCTCTAAGGCCAAGCATAATGTAACATCTTCCCCACTCCATCTTCCAGCAGGGATGGTGTGGTTACAGAGCTCTGGCCAAGTCGGGTTTTCCATTGTCAGAGAAAAGCTACAGGCAAAAAGGTGGTAAGGCTAGAATGAACTTTGTGGTGTTGGACTGGAGGTTTGGATTCTTGGTTTTTAATATACATACCGATAGATGCTGAAATAAATAGGCATCAGTGTGTGAATGCTAGGGTTAGAATACATGCATTTCCCAGCCCTGTCTGCTTGGAGGCCTTGGCCACAGTGACACCCCAGTAGCAGCAAGCACTTATAGGGTCCAGATTGGGGCTTCTGAATACCACTCTCTAATAAAAGGAACCAGAGCTCCCTGGAGGAATTCCAGATCTAGGGCAGAGAGTATAAAATGAGCCTGGAATATCTTGTGGTACCATAAAATAAGGAAGTGCTCCGGGGTGCCTGGATGGCTCAGTCAGGTAAGCTTCCGACTTCAGCTCAGGTCATGATCTCACAGTTCCTGGGTTCGAGCTCCGCATCGGGCTCTATGCTGACAGCTCAGAGCCTGGAGCCTGCTTCAGGTTCTGTGCTTCCCTCTCTCTGCCCCTACCTTGCTCGTGCTCTCTCGCTCTCAAAAATAAATAAACATTAAAGAAAAAAATGTTTTTTAAAGGTGAGGAAGTGCTCCAAAAACAAAGGGGGCTTATTCTCTTAAGGACACAGAAATCAACTTGAAAAGAGCACCCAGTAATCAAATCTGTGATGGATTATAAACCATCCATACAATAAAATATCAGAGTCCACTCTGATATTAATAATTGAATAGATGTATACATGGAGAAGAAGGGACAGTTCTTCCTTACAGTAGTTCAATTCATATAGAAGGAATACTGGAAAATGGAAATCACCATAGGCAAACCACAGTACCAATTGCTGTCTGTAAAAAATAGATGCAAAAATTAGTAGAAGGGGTGTCTGGGTAGCTCAGTTGGTTAAGTGCTGGACTTCAGCTCAGGTCATAGTCTCATGGTTCATGGGTTCGATCCCTGGGTTGGGCTCTGTGCTGACAGCTCAGAGCCTGGAGCCTGCTTCAGATTGTGTCTCCCTCTCTCTGCCCCTCCTCCACTTGCGCGCGCGCGCTCTCTCTCTCTCTCTCTCTCTCTCAAAAATAAACATTAAAAAATTTTTAAAAATTAGTGAGCAAAAGGACATTTGCATTGCTTCAAAGTTATCTCCCCCTACCCAAGATAACTAGTAATTACAAAAGGAAAAATAATAACTTTATAATGGAGAAACCTAGTAGATACCACCTTAAACCAATGATCAAATTTGTATCCCCGGTATTTAGTCATTGTCTCTTTTTTTAAATTTATTTTTTAATGCTTATTTATTTTTGAGAGAGAGAGACCACAAGCAGTGGAGGGGCAGAGAGAGGAGGAGACACAATAAGCAGGCTCCAGGCTGAGCTGTCAGCACAGTGCCCAACACGGGGCTCAAACTCACAAGCCATGAGATCATGACCTAAGCTGAAGTCGTATGCTTAACTGACTGAGCCATCCAGATGCCCCTTTTTGTTAAATTAAAAAAAAAATTTTTTTTATGTTTATTTTTGAGAGAGAGAGACAGCATGTGAGCAGGGGAAGGGCAGAGAGAGAGGTAGACACAGAATCTGAAGTAGCCTTCAGGCCAGATGCAGGGCTGGAACCCACAATCGACAAGATTATGACCTGAACCGAAATCAGATGCTTAACCGACTGAGCCACCCAGGTGCCCCTAGTCACTGCGTCTTGATATAATGCACCAAGGGTGCAGTGTCACATTTGGTATTCCCACATAACCACAATCTAGCCAGGAACACAGGCAAACCCAAACTGAGGGCATTCTATAAATTAATGGACCAGTTCCCTTGTTCAAAAGTGACAGGTTATGAAAGACAGGAACTGTCACAGATTGAAGGAAGACTGAGGTATGACAGCAAAATGCAATGTGAGGTCCTGGATTGGACAAGGACCTTTCTGGGAAAGCAGGCAAAATTAGTAAATAGCACTGTATCAGTGCGAATTTCCTGGTTTTAGTCATCATGCTATGTTAACATTAGGGGAAAGTGGGTGAAGGGTAAATAGGAACTCTGTGCAATCTCTCTGTAAATCTAAAATTACTTCAAAAGGGCAGGGAAAGAGCTCAGGCTCAAGCTAAGTGTTCTGGACTCAATTCTGCCACCACGACTAGCTAGCTAAGTAATCCTCTTCCTAGGGTTCGCTATCTCTAATATGGGGGTGATAATAATAGTACCTACCTCATGAGTTTATAAACAGCCTGGAAGGTGAGCCTGGAACATTTTGTGCCAGAAAATAAAAGAAGTGCTCAAA